GGGGCTGCCTTCTTCCACAATGGCTAAATACCCTCATCCAATGACTCAAAATTATCACCAAGTCAACTATAGGAAAATAAATAACCCACCATAGTTACATAGCAATAGTTTCACCTTCGCTGTTATTAGAAAGCAAGGTGCCTGGCTGCAGCTGCTGCCCAGAGAACATGAAATCTTCTATCCACTGTCGCCACTCACTCTGGGCACAGAATATTCAGTCATGGATAAAAATGAGCTGGTGCAGAAGGTCAAATTGGCTAGGCAGGCTGAGAGACATGATGACATGGCAGCCTGCATGAAGTATGTAACTGAGCAAGGGGGTGAATTATCCAAGCAGGAGAAGAATCTTCTCTCTAATGCTTACAAAAACACCATACGACCACAAAGGTCATCTCGGAGGATCCTTTTAAGTATTAAGCCAAAAAACGGAAAGAGCTGAGGAAAAAAACAGCAGATGGCCCAAGAATACAGAGAGACAATTGAGACTGAACTAAGAGATATCTGCAATGACATACTGTCTCTGTTGGAAAAGTTCTTGATTCCTAATGCTTCACAAACAGAAAGCAAAGTTTTCTATTTGAAACTGAAAGGATACTACTACCATTATTTGGCTGGCCTTGCTGCTGATGATAAAAAAGGAATAGTGGATCAATCACAACAAGCATATCAAAAAGCATTTTAAATCAGCAAAAAGGAAATGCAACCAATGCATCCTATTAGATTGGGTCTGGTCTTGAACTTCTCTGTGTTCTATGAGGAGATCCTAAGATCCTCTCCAGAGAAAGCCTGCTCCCTCGCAAAGACAGCTTTGGATGAAGACATTGCTGAGTTAGATACATTAAGTGAAGAATCACACGAAGACAGCACACTAATAATGCAGTTACTGAGAGACAATTTGATATTGTGGACCTGGGACACTCAAGGAGATGAAGCTGAAGTTGGGGGGCAGAATTAATCAGGCTTCCAATATTTATTGCCTCATTCCAAAACTTACACAGTAGACCATTTGTCGTCCATGCTGTCCCACAAACATTTTTCTTATGATTTATGACAAGTTTGTGTTACTTCTGTTTGGATTTCTATATTTCCCATGTGGTTTTTATGCTTAATATTAGGGCAGTAGAGCCAGTTAACATTTGGAGAGTTATCTGTTTTGTGGCCAATGTGGGGATATGGAATTTTTATACACATTTTACGCATTTGGCATAGTTCTTTTGGTAAGCTGCGATTTCACAAAGTGTTTAAGCAAAGAAAACTGCCTACATATTGACTTGTGATAGGGGTAGAGGGGACATGGATAATTGATTTCAATCACAGGTGTAGTTATGGGTACTTTAGGGTTGGAGAACTCTGGGCTGTGGCAGAAACATATGTCCCATAGATATTACATGTCATTCTATGTGTATCTGGACTATACAATCTCAACATATATACCTTTATGACTGCAGTTGAAAAAATGTTCCTTAAGACAAAGTTTTAGCCCAGTCAGTTTACTCTGGAGAATGGTAGAAATGGCTCTCATTCCATTATTTGTAAAATTACCTGCTCACTTTCATTATTTTTGCTACATTCATTTTATTTGGATTTAAATGGTTTAGGCAACCTAAGAACAAATGTAGAAGTTAAGATGTAGTAAAAATGAATTGCTTGATATTCATAAAGTCTCCACATATCAAGCATAGCCATAAACGAAAAACACCACATATTTAACTTTTTTAAGGCTTTTTGCCTTTGTAATTTTTTGATGCTTGCCCTCATGTGCTGTAAAAATTAACAGGGCGATAACTTGAGATGATGGCTAGCTTTGTCTAATGTCTTGTGAAATTTTCATGAACAATCCAAGTACAGTTGTTAAGACCATGTGTATTAAGTTGTTGTTAGTAGAATAAAAGTTTTATGAATGGAGAGAAAAAAAAAAGCAAGGTGCCTCTCAACAGCACCACCCCTTGCTTCCTCAAGCACTTTCTGGTAAAGAGTTCTCCAAACTATTTCAGAGGAAAGGAAGTTTGACAATTGAGGACATAAATTACTTCTCTAAGGTATATGGCATCCTCCAAAAGAGCAAGGACCTTGAGGCCAAGGCAACTCTGCAGTGAAGAAGAAAGAAAAAAGGGCCAAAGAGGAGCAACCAGAATTTTGATGTCCAAAAAGAGGCCATTCTCATCAGGTTCATCTTCCTGGTAAGTGAATCCAAGAAACCACTGGATGAGAACACTCCTCCTTACGGCCAGAGAGCATTAATGAAGATATATTGAACGTATCAATGAAAGAAAACTTATTAAGTTCCTACTATGTGCTCAGCATTGTGCTAAGAGTATAAATACCAAAGCAAAGTCGTTCCCTGACCTCAGGGAACTTCCATTGCACTGGATGACACAAAACAGCGGGGGAGTAGCCTTGATTTCATCACAGACATGCTTCTGGGAGATTAGATATTGCTGATATCATTGCTCCAGGGACCCTTCTTCAAGATTTCCTTTTAAGCATCTGCAATTGCTTCAGCTGCTTGTTTGAGAGAAATCTAACCCCAGCCAGCTCCCTCAAGGGAGGAAGTAACCATCTTCCTCCTGGAAGCAGTTAAAGGATAAATCTAAAGCTTTTTCGTATCCTGAGTGGGAGATTCCAGACTGCCCCAAGTCTGCACTCCTCTAGCCTCATGGTTGCTACCTCAGGAAATAGGTAAACCTTTGGATCAGAGACCATTGGCTGGGTTTCTGGTGAGGGCCTCTGAGTTCTCCACCCTGTTAGGAGAGATCCCTTCGCTTGTACAGTCACCAGCTCCATCAGCTGCCCCTCAGTTGTCATTGCACAGAGCTTTGAGCTCCATTCTAGCTGCTAAATGGACCAGTCCAGTTTACTTTCAGTCTTATGCTAGCAGTCCAACTTCTGCAGAACAGTGAACAACAACCAAGGAATCCTGGCCTTGGCACTTTCTTTACCCTACCGGGCAGCCTCCTCCAGCACTCACTGAACTAATCCTTCTGCCTGAGCAGGATTCTGGTTGCCTCTAATGCGCAGAGATGAATCTCCATACATGATTAAGAGAGTTCTAGTGACCCAGAGCCATGAAGTGATCCACTGCTGGCTCATCTTCTTCTGTATTTGCAGGACTATTCCCTGATTCAAGCAACAATGTGAGCCTTGAGGTCATATTTTACTCTAATACCAGCACCCTTAGTTCCAGTTTGACATAGGGATGAAATGAGCCACTCTGAGGTGATGTGTGAATACAATGCAATCTAGGAAACTGGAAAATTAACTTGTTTGAATCTCAGTTTTTTCATTTGTAAAATGGATGCAATAATACTTGTATTATCTAATTACTAACTTCATAAAGCTATTATGAGGAAAGCACTGCCACTTTGTAAAACACAAAACACTATCTAAAAGGTATAATAAATAAGTATCCAGGACTTTGCTCCCTTTCATTCTGTGTGAAACTATACAACTCTAAGAACTGAAAAGGATAACACAAATAACATCTTAACATAGGAAGTCACCTATAGTTTTTTTTCCACCTTAGTTTAAAAAGATGATATCTACAGAGAAAAATTTACAAGTTGTCAATTATACCCATTTTAAAAAAATTAACATTCTCGGGGCTGCCAGGTGGCACAGTGGATAGAGCACTGGCCCTGGATTCAGGAGGACCCGAGTTCAAATGCGGCCTCAGACACATGACCTTCACTAGCTGTTTGACTATGGGCAAGTCACTTAACCCCAACTGCCTCACCAAAAAAAAAAAAAATTCTCTTTATATAAATAAAATAGAAAACATGAAAGGTAAACTTTTATCCAAAAATCCACACCATTTCACAATATTTGCCTCCTGTAGACAAAATTAAGGAATAAGCTTTTAGGTTTTCTAGAACATATTTTGGGTTTGCCCATAATAGCAATTTATTAACAGCCTACCCTGATTTTTAAAAGTTATCAGTTAATTTTTAAAAATAATACAGAAAGAGTTAAAAATCAATTTTTTTTTCTACTGAAAGAGTTGGTTGTGGAACACATGTTCATATCAGTGATGATTTTTTATGGCTCTAAAAAAAATCAAGATTACAATCTTTTTACTGCAACAATGTTCTCCTTCAGACTCAGTCAAACTTCCCAGCTGAAATAACCAATCTCACTGCAACTCAAACTTTTTCTTTATGTGATAAGCTGTCAAACTTGATTTACATTTATAAGAAATGGGTTAGCCAACACAATTTCAAGCAGCAAACTACAGATGAATTAAAAGGGAAAAACTCCCCAAAATAGAGATGACATAGAGACTGGGGCAATAAGGGAACTATCAATCAAGTCTGAAAAGCCCTGTGGGACCCAAATTCCCATGAAGATGTGCAGGTTTTTGTACTTCAGTAAGAGGCAACAGTGAAATAAAGCAAACAATAAAAGGAAAAGACAAATCTGACGAGTACTATGGATCTATTGCATTCTTATGCACTATCAATCTCTTTTGTAACAAACGGATAAAATGGAACTCATTTTAAACAATGCACGTAATCAGTATAACTACTCCAAGAATAGAAGTAATTTTGTCATGCTATTCTTCCTCTCAAAAGTGCTGATATCCTATCCTTTCAAATATGCTGCCACAATGTTATTTTACTTACACAATGACTGTAAGAATTAAATAATTTCATACCTGTGAAGTTGAATCCAAAAGTTAAAAAAAAAAAACTGGTAAAGGAAGGTGATTACTTCAGACTTGCCATCACTTTAAAAACAATGTTCTATCTTAAATCCCAAATCACCATACTGCAAACACAAACTATTTCAAAGAAATAAAATGTACTATATATTGGCAAATGCTTCTAGATGAGATTAATCAACTTTTAATTAAATTTAAAACTGGGTTCTATAAGGGCAAAATTCAAAAGGTATGTGTGTGTGTGTGTGTGTGTGTATACAGATACACAAATATCTTAGTCTACATTGGGAGTAAGGGAGTAAGAAAATAGTCAAGTTTCAAACAGTAAATACACTGAAGCAACTATAATAGCAATATCATTTATTTAAAATATTTTTTTCATCTATGAAAGCTCATTTCACATGAGTTCTGCTCTAATTATCAAGATCAAAAATAAAGAAAATAAAGCCAGAGAAAAGTCCTCTGTAGAAAAAAAAAAGCACAAATGTATGTTTCTGCATCTCAAAAAACAGTCTTTGTACATCCAAGCTTTAGTCCCAGTTTCAGATACCCTAATGAACACCACTATCAATCTTGAGATCTGGCTTGTTCTTGTCATTCTTTACTGAGTAGATGAAGTATGTTAAGGTGTCCTTTTCATTTACTGGAATAGACCTAAAATGGCAACCAACTATCTATAAAGAGAAAAATTGAGGAAATTAGAGATTAAGACGTTCATTTTGCTTTTTCAAATAGTTACATCTAAAATCCCGCCAAAACAAAAAACAATGTGTTACATGTTAACCTATTCATTTTAAATATATATATATATATATACAGATTAAGCAGAAGACAGCAAAATTTCAAGGGAAACAAGATTCCTTATCTAACAGTTTTAAAACCACTTACTGTGAAAACAATTAGGAAGTTAATACTTTCATTTTTTAAACTATAAATTCCAATTAAGCATAATAGAAATGCATGTAAGCCTGCTAAGACACATCTGCATCCTTCTAATTCCCATTTGCAATGACCTTATTCAAATTAAAAAATGCAACTATCAAGATGAAAGAATTCTTCACTTGTACAGCATAAGCAAACCTGGGAACCTCCTGTTAGTGTTCTTTGTACTAGAGAGTCCTGAAAAAAATAATCTGCATATAGATAACTGAAGGAAAACAGAAGAAAGATCCATGTGTATTGGATATTTATCACCTTTCTTCACTTCTCATGATGCTAGGGATCAGTGATGTGTAACTACCAATTAATACCTTTTTAATTGATTAAACCATGACACCTTGACCTTTTCTTTTTTCTGAAAGTCAGAAACTTCCCAAAGAAAACCCCACCTACATATGAAACCTGGCTTAATGCCTAAAATACTAAGTTTCCATATTTGGTATACAGGCAGACTAAATTATAAAAATACATGCCTGTTAGAATTTGAGACAGCATTTCTCCCTCTGGAATATAATAAGATTGCTTCAGTTTCAATATAATTTAAAAAAATAAGTTAGGCTGTCAGAAGTTTAATAGTATCGCGACTTTTGTTTTTTTAAATAAAATCTCAAAGTAGAAACATTCATAACACTCTCTTCTCCTGAATTATTTTGATTTTAAATACCTTAATTTTGTTATTAGCCTGAAATGGAATGTTCTAAAATCTACATCTTAAGTTTCTTTTTGGTTAAGATGAACAGTTAGACAGAAAAACCTACTAGGGAATATACTATCCTTCCTTTTTTTATCACGTTTATTAAGAATGAAACAATAAATGAAAAATAATAATAAGTTACAGAGATATCACATCCTATAATTCTTACATAAAAGTCATTTCATTACATTGAACACACCAAGGAAAGCATTTCTCAGCTAGTCCACCACTGTCATGAAGTCATTATAACGGGAAACTAGCTAACTCATAAGCTCATCTGTGAACCTGTCTACTAGAAATGGTATGGATTAATACAGGATGTCCCTGTACTAAAGCTATTAAAGCTTAAACTCACACTAAGACTTTTGGGATACCTTGTTTATAATTCAAAATTCCTCATTAATAGTAAAGAGTATTAAGTCTTAAGAGCACATCTTAAACGACATGGCTACTGATATTAAAGGAAATGTACATTGTTAAAAGCTTTTCATGTATAGCAAAATTGCCATAAGAAAAATAGTATATTTTTATACGTCTTGATGTTTAAAAGGGCAGTGAAAACAAATCACAATCAATTAGTTCAATTATTACATAAAGGCCTATGCCCATATTTTCTAAAGAGTAAACAAACACTGTAAGGCACCTAGTATTTTCACAGCAAGCTTTCTAGTAACTAATGGTTCAAAATTCATTAAAAATTGGCTAAAGCCATCCTTTGGTGCAAAATTTTAGAAATTACCTAAAAATAAATACACAAGGTATTTAAGAAAGCATTACCCAAAATGTGGGAGTTAGTTTCTAGAAATGCGCACATTTAATGTAATCCTTTCTTTATTAAATAGCACAATAATGACTTCTACCTCAACAAGTTGTGCTTTGTTAAGTCCTGGTCTGGTTGTTAACTTGAAGTGTCTTTTGTACCTCCGAAGTGTGTTGACTTGTAATTGGTATAAATCAACCTATAAAGAATTAAGATACTTATTAACATTAATTTATGTATAACTTGATAAAATAGGTTAATTATAAAAAAAATTTATCAAATGCATTTGAAAAATCAAGGTTATTATTGATTTAAAGAACATTTTCTTTACAGGAGAATAGGAGACATTAAATATCAAATTAAGCCTAGAAAATACCATAAAGTCAAACTTCACCTACTTACAGGCATAATTATTAACAATAATATACTATTTAATTATTTCACATGTAGTTCATGATTTAAGCATTTAAATTTGTTGAAATGAAAAACAAAAGCAACATATTACATTTGATATAAAAACTATTCATTTACCTCTGGAGTATCTATATCTTGCACAGGTGAATCACCTCCATCATCATCACTCCCTTTCCTCTTTCTTCTGTTTCGAACACTCTGAATTAAGTTTTTGTGAAAGTCACAGATATAAAGGTGCCTTGCCTGGGGGGGAAAGACACCAACAACAACAAAAACAAAAAGCAAAAAAAAAAACAACTTTAAGTTTCCCACAGAGCTCATTACTACATAATTAAACCAAAATCTAGATTCTACTCTGAAAGTACCATATGCTATAATGAATTATTAAGGATAAAGTTATAAGAAAAGTAACTTCTAAGTTGGACATTCTTATTTCTATCATATTCCTTTTTTTCCAGAATCCCTCATGTTAAATCACCCCAGATTCATTTGATACAAAGAAAATAGCACTTTGCCTTGTTGTGTTGTGACTAATCTATTTCAGAAATGGTATGCTGCTGAAGAAGAAAGACAATAGAAGGAGAAGTTTCTTCTAGGCCTTTACTTTCTGGTATCAAAATACTGTGGGAGGGCAATGAGTTTAGGGCTGTCTTTTTCAAATAAGAGGAAGGCTTGTCTTACTGTAGAGCTCTTCTGACTATGACACTGCTTTCTCTAGAAAGGATCATTTTAAGTATAATATGTTCTTTTACCCTTCTTTCTTCCAGGCATAACTTCCAACTTATATTCAGGGTATCATAAATACCTAGTAGAGATCAACTTAAAAAAAGTTAACTACTAATTCCACATGCTTTATTAATAACTAAAGTTTTTAATAAACTGGGTTATCATCATGCTTACATCTCTATTTCAAATGGAAGCTACTCTCCAATAGTTTCAAGACCACGAAAGGCGTTTCTATGACCCAAGAAAACGAAACTAGTAACAACAAATACAAATTAACTTTTAACAAACTAATTTACTTATAACCTTTCCAATTGTAACAGTAATCAGTTAAAACAGCATGTTGACATTATAGTCAAATTATTTCACATCACTTCCCCTCCTATACTTTAGGTTCCCAAACTGGAATACTACCTAGTCCCTCAGCTGAAAAAGCCTTCTTTGTGCACTCCTGGCCTGTTCCTGTTCCAGTTGCTGGAATGCAGGCTCTTCCACTGCTCAGCCAATCAAAATTCCTTCAAGGATTAGCTCAGGTGCCTCCTCCGAGAAGCATTCCCGGATCCTTCATCTAAAAGTCTTTCTCTCTCCTCACATTTTCTTACAGTACTTTGGAGGTCTCCTTTGCCCCTAACACATTCTATTAACCTTTTATTATATTACTTTTAAAAATAAAAGTAAGCTCCTTGAGGGAAATGTCATTTTTCATTTCCCCAAGCCTCAAAGCACAGAATCTTATGAAATACTAGTCAGTTAACAGATGTGCGAGTTGATTTCTTGCACTTTTTCAAGAAATACATATACTCTGAAGGGCGATCCTTTGTCTTATGTGAGGGACTTTGTCGACAGACCTTCACAAACAGATTTCTAACCACGGAGGAAGTTAAAATCCAGGAAGGAGCGTGCTTATTTTTAAGGAAGGAGGAGGCTCGTTTTTGGCTGGCCTTTGGAGCTAACAGTTTCACCTACCTCCAGACAGACGAACTAAAAGGATCAAGCATAGCTTTTTAGAACCTCGGACACGATCACCGGGCCAGCCGCGGATGGCTGCCAAGAAGAACGTAAAATGGCAAAGACCTACGTGCAACACATCCACGAGGCACTGCCCTAGGCACAGGCTATGACTCCATCTACTAGACCCAACAGACAGCCAGGGCTCCTCGGCCACAGTGGGAGGAGCTCAGGGCTCTCGGACGCGTGTGTGTGTGTGTGTGTGTGTGTGTGTGTGTGTGTGTGTGTGTGTTGTGTATGTATGTGTGTTGTGTCTGTGTACGTGTATGTTGGGGGAGTAGAGCAAAGGGAGCCCCCTGCCCGACTCTCCCACGGCCAGCTCCACTGTTGTCCCGAGACCAGACGGGCAGCTCCAAACAGCACCAAGGGACAACCACTAGCGGAGCCAAGCTCCACGTCCCAGCTCGGGAAAGCCGAACAAAGGAGCCTCCCTGCCAGGCTGGGCCACAGGGCTGCGAAGAAAACAACTCTTCCCCGCTCGCTTTCCCCGCTTTGTTTCGCTTCCCAATCGTGCCCGAAAAGACGCCGAGGGGGAGGGAGGAAGGGAAGAGGAGGAGAAGAAAGTGGGGGGGGCTGAGGAGTTAGAGGGGGAAGTTAGAGGTGGGGGGAAGGGAAAAGGTAAAGGAGGATGGGGGCCTGGAGAAGGAGGTGGGAAGAGAGAAGTTAGAAGGAGGTAGATAGAGGCGGATGGGGGGGTTGGAGAAGAAGGTTGAGGTAGATGAGGGGCTACAGAAGGAAGTGGGGGGAGGTGAAGGAATTAGAGGTGAGCGAGGAAAGGGAGGAGGTGGAAGTGAACTGGGGCTGGAGATGAAGGTGGGAGAGTACGAGTTAAAGGTGAGTGGGGGCAAGGGAGAAGGAGGTAGAGGTGGATGGGAGAAGACAGGAGACGGTGGTGGAAAAAGAGAAAGAGTTGGAGCTGGCTAAGCTGCAGAAAGGAGGAGGTGAACAGGGGAAGAAGGAAAAGGAGGAGGAATGGGGGGGATAAGGTAGGCTAGGGACTGAGGATGCCAGGGCAGCAGCCGCCGCAGGAGTTGCAGTGACTTTGTTATCGCCGCCCCTCGATGTCCGCCCGCAGCGGGGTCGGCGGAGAGGTGAAGGCGGAAGAGCGGAGGGGAGCCCCCGATGCCCCCAGCCCCTCCCCCTGCCCGCGGACCCGCTCGCAGCAGGCACCGGGTCCTCGGGGTCACTCACCGTCTTGTCCAGGTCGATCTTGACCTTCTTTTGGGAGATGCTCTTCTGGATCCTCTTGCTGAAGCTGGCGTTGCCGGCCGCCCGGCTGCACCTCTCCCCGTCCTCCCGCAGACAGCACAGCTGCCCGGGCCCCGGGCCCGCCGCGCCGGGGGGACCCCCCGCGGCCGCCGCCGGCCCGGAGCCCGGCACCTCGGCCCCGCTCGCGGCCCCACCCCGGCCCCGGCGCCCGCCCCGGACGAGGCGGCGGCGGCGGCGGCAGCGGCGGCAGCGACCACCACGGCGGCCACGGCGGCGGCCGCGTCCCCTCCCCGGCTCACCTCGTCCGGGGGGAAGCCGTTCATGGTGGTCTCCCCTCCGAGGCGGCGGCGGCGGCGGCCGGGGGAGCGCCCTTCTCGCCTCCGCTCACGCACCCCTCCGAGCCGCGGCGAGCCCCGAGCCGGGCCGGACGGCGGGAGAGCGAGGGGGAAGCAGCAGCCTGCACTCCGGCCTCGGTCCCCACTCCGCTCCCGGGCCCCCGAGGCACCTGCACTGGGCCGACGGAGCGGCCCCGCTCCGGCCCGGGCCCCGGCGGCAACTCACTCCGCACTGGCCGGAGACAGCCCCGACAGTCCCCCGCGCCTTGCCCGGGGTACGCTCTTCGTCCCCAGCCGGCCGGCTCCGTGTTCCGGCTCCGGAAGGGGCGTCCGGCTCCGGCCGCGCTCACTCTGTCATGTGGAGACTCTTCAGCTGTTAAGCTGCTCCCCCTTCCCTCCTCCGCCTCTCCACGGCCCGCGGCTAGTGCGCAGGCGCAACACTGCTCCGCTCCACCAGCCCCTCCCCGCCTCCCTCCCAACACAAACATTCTCCCCTCTAACTCCTCCCACCTCAAGGAAGGAAGCCCTACGGGAAATGTAGTTCCTTCCGGCTCTCTCTCCATTTCTCCCCCCACCCCCACCAGCTCCACCCCATACCTTAGTTCTTCTCTTCTTTGGCTTGCCGGAGAGGTTGAAGAACTACTAATCCCGACGTGCATCGCGTAGCTACATGCTGGCAGGCCTGGCTCTTAGTTCCCTCCTGGCTGTCTGGGGAAAGGTGGAGCTGCCGGGTCGGCGTCTCGGGATTAGAAGCCCGGGGCTTTCCCTACTTTGGGTTGGGAGCTGGGAGCCAGGCTGTCGGAGGTACCCCCTGGGCGCAGTGCGTGCAAAGCGTGTGGATTTGGGAGGGTGGGGCGTGGAGAAGGTGGAGAAAGGGTCCTGAGGCCTCACTGCACGCACTGAGCTACCCTTGCCTCAGTGTCTGCCCCGCAGACTTGCTGCTGCTGAGTCCCAGCATCCGGTCCAGTGGACCCTTCCCCAGGCTCTCCCCTCCCTAAATATCTCCCCTGATCTCCAGCCCCCACATTTCCAACTGCTTGTTGGGAGTTGGGGAAAGGGAGCTCCCTGCCCGAATCCAGGCTGGTGTGTTTCCTGGTGAGAGTCGCAACCCTCACCCAAACCCCCCCACCCCTTTCCCAGTCAACTGAGGGGGGAAAAAGTTTTTTATTCTCCTTTGCCCTATCCGGGCACACTAAGCCTCCCAGTTTTGTTGTTGTTGGGAGTAGTCAACCCCTTTCCCTGGGCGGAGCTAACAACTTGTCCGAAAATAAAGAGGTGGAGAGAATCTTGGTTACCAAACCGCGAGAGGGAAGGGGGCGTGGATATGCCAACCAATTTATCCTTTTAAAGACTCCAGGCTACACTAACACGGCTTTGCAGAAACTTGGAAGGTCTATGTGAAGGTCCTGTTTTCACTGGCTTGCGGAAATGCAAAACCTCATCCACGCCTTCCCCACCCCCACTTTGCTGCTAAGGCTTTAGGAAAGGGATCCGAATGGAAGTTGCATCTTTGCTGGCGTCTATAATGTGTTAATGTAGTGAGAATTGCCTGCTCCGTCGTGGTTTCACTAAAGAATTAGGCCCTTTTCTCTTTCTCCACTCACTTCCTTGCCATACTGTTCATGGCCTCAGCTGTCAAGTAAAGCTGTTCCTCGAATTGATCTTAACCATTCACACACCCTGGTTTCGAACGGAGCATTCAAATCTCTTCCGTTTTTGTTAGATGCGTTACGTTCTTTCCATCTCCAAAATCTTTCATCAGAGGTGCCGGAGTCCCAGAGTTCCAGCCGTTTGCTGGATATCCCGACTTGGGAGTCATTGGAAAACACTAGCCAGCATAAAACTCAAAACTAAATTCCTCTTCCAAGGCGTTTATTTGTTTGTTTCAGGGTCCAGGAACTCTTTAAAATTTTTGATAACTATTTCAATAGAATTGGTATCCTTTGTAATCCTATATATTTTATTTTATGCATTTGAAATTTTTTTTTTGAGAATATATAGGCTTCAATAGACAGAGGTCCAAAACACAAACAAGGTAAGAACCTCTGGTAGATGAATATTTTTCCCAAAACATGTCTGTCTCCTTGTCTTCTCTACTTCTATTGATGGCACCACCATCCTCCCAGCCTCACACCCTCTCCCTCAGCCCCATTAAATAACACTTTCCCTCTCCAGCCAATCGTTTCGTACTATTTCTTGCTTTTATGTATGTCATATTCCTTTTTGTTATTTAGTCGTTTTCAGTTGTGTTCTCCTCTTCATGACCCCTCTTGAGGTTTTCTTGGCAAAGATACTGGAGTAGTTTGTCATTTCCTTTTCCAGCACATTTTACAGATGAGGAAACAGAGGCAAACAGGATTAAGTGACTTGCCCAGAATCACTCAACTAGTAAGTGTCTGAGGCCAGATTTGAGCTCAGGTCTTCCTGATTTCTGTCCACTGTGCCACCTAGATGCCTCCTCATATACCCTGTTGAATTATGAGACAGGAACCTTGTCTATCCTGTCTTATCCAAACCTTATGTTTCACTAGGGCTGACTGAGTGAGTACACAGTGGACATTTAATAAATATTTAATTAAATCAAATCCTCTACCCAATCCATGTTACTTTCCTTAATTTCTCTGTTTCCGTTGATGACACCAACATCCAGTCACCTAGGCAGTTATCTATGAGATCCCTCTCCCTGACCTACTCTCAGCCCCTATCCAGTCACTGGTAAGTCCAACTAGTTCTGTCTTTAAAGTATCACTTTCATCCTCTCTCTCTCTCTCTCTCTCTCTCTCTCTCTCTCTCTCTCTCTCTCTCTCTCTCTCTCTCTCTCTCTCTCTCTCTCTCTCTCTCTGTCTCTCTCTCTCTGTCTCTCTCTCTCTCTCTCTCTCTCTCTCTCTCTCTCTCTCTCTCTCTCTCTCTCTCTCTCTCTCTCTCTCTCTCACACACACACACACACACACACACTCCCCACCAACCTTTTCACTCCTACTACAACCACACTGGTTTAGGGCCTATATCTTCTTCCTTCCACTATTCTCCCAGGAAAGCTAAATTTCATACCTCCAGTCAATTTCCTCCCCATGTGTCTTTTATACTGCACTGCTCTTACCCTCTACCTACCTCAGTTTCACAACTATAACATGGGGATAATAACCTGTCTTCCAGTGTCGTGAGGATGTAAAGCACTTAGCACAGTGCCTGGAATACTATAAGTGCTTAATAAATGTTTATTTACCTCATCCCATTTTGATTGTTTTTTCCCCCTCTTGGTTTCTCTATGTAGAAAGCTTTTCTCCCACACAGCATGAAGATTAGGAGTATTTGGTGTTGCAATAACTATTAAAAATATCATTCTTTAAGTTTAAAAAAATACTCAACAGCTCTGCTCTATTCATACTCAAAAATCTTTGATGCCTTTTCATTGCCTATTAAATAAAATATAAACTCCTTTTCCTGGTATTCAAGAACTCTACAATCTGCTATCAGCACACCTTTCAAATTTCTTCAACTATTCCCCTTGTATAATGAATACTCCAACTAAACATGACATATAAAAATTGGTTGAAGGGACTGAGGATGTTGAGCTTGGAGAAGAGAAGACTTGGAGGGTAGCTGTCAAGTATCTGAAGGGATAGCACTCAGAAGAGGGAAGTTATTGGGATGCTTGGTCCCAGAGGGTAAAAAAGAACAATGCAGTAGAAGTCCTGGGTGTGGTGTTTCCAGTGCTTAGTACTGTGCCTGGTGCAAAGTAGGTACTTAATAAATGATTACTGGGTGACTGACTTGGAGCCAGGAGACCGGGAGTGGAAGAAATAAGCATTTATTAAGTGTCAACTATGTTGCAGGAGCTGTGCTAAACACTTTATAAATATTTCATTTGATCCTCACAACATCCAAGGGAAGTAGGTGCTATTGTTTTGTATTTGAGGAAACTGAGGCAGACAGATTATGTGGTTAAGTAACTTGCCTGGGTCACAACTAGTGTCTGAGGCCAGATTTGAACTCAGGTAAATCTTCCTGATTGTTCCAGGCCCAGCACTCTATCCACTGTGCCATCTAGCTGACTGTGGGCCCGCAGGGAACACATGTGGCGAAGATAAACATGTAGAAGGACACATATATAAGCAAAACAGGTAGCCAAGGCACATACGTGGAGGATCCCTAATCCTCTAATGCTGCATAGTTTCCATTGCCTTTTGGTGATGTCAGCACAATCAGCCTTTTACCTGGTCTGCTCTCTTCTTTACATTGTAAAACATGGTTCCTGCTTGTCTTTGCCAGGTACAGTTCTACTGGGCCTGAGATCATGGAGATTCTCCTTACTAACAGCTTCTGGCTTAAGTGGGAGTCCTTATCTCTTCTTCAAGGGAGGAACAAAGCTCTTTCTCCCCGGAAGAGTAGGCTCTGCCATTGCTCTTTTAGCTTAAACCTCAGAGGCTTTTCTGCTACAGTTCTTTGGAATAGGCATAAACCCTAAAACAGTCACTCACTGAATAAGTAAAAAGCCCTTTGGGTCTGCTTGTTTCTCAGAAGCAAGAATGAATGTTTCCTCTCCTGAAGGAGATTCCTCACTCCAAACATCAAGCATTGTAAAACACAAGGAATAATAATAACAACAACTGGAACTAGAACTTATATGGTATTTACTATGTGCCAGGCACTGTGCTAAGTGCTATAAAATGTTATGTCACTTGATGCTCACAGCAAACCATGAGACAGGTGCTATTATGGTCCAAATTTTGCAGATGAGGAAATTAACTTTAAAGAAGTGATCTGCCCAAGGCCACATAGCTAGTAAATGTCTATTTTGAATTCAGGTCTTCCTGACTTCAGACCCAGCACTTTACCCACTGTACCACTCAGAATGCCAACTTAGTTGACCAATGCTCTCAGGTTTAATTCATTTTTTTTCTCCTCTCTTTCCTGATTACCAAGGACTCTGTCATTCTCAGAGGTCTCACTCTGACTTAAGGTCAGAAAGTCCATACACTTCCTAGTCAGCTATTTCTCCAATGAACTGCTATCCATATTTGGAGGATTCTAGTTCTCAATTCCAAAACTACTTTGATACAAAGTCCAGATTGCAATA